AGACAGGCAGACAGACAGAAGAGAAGATCACAGACAGACAGAGACAGACAGACAGACAGAAGAAAAGATCACAGACTGAACTCTGACTCAGAGAGGAAGAACCTCTGCAGCGCCGATTGGAAACACTGCTGGGAATCCTCCTTTAATGTTTTTTTGTTTTTTTAACATTGTGTTTATTGAGTTTTTCCATATTCATACATAACATAACATATTATACATTGTGAACATCTTCTTTTGCTTATTGTTTCCCAGTAGTTGGACAATTGTGAACAAGACCAGAACATGTGAATAAGTGAGCCAATGTCAGATGTACACCTTGGACAGTATCGGGAGATTGTCTGACTTATATTATGCAGTCTTTCTGGGGTATAATCAATTATATGTATCAGATTGTATTGAGTTAATATGTGTTTACTATTATAGGAAAAGCATTGAATCTTTTCACATAGCTCGGTCCAATCATCATCTTCAAAGTTGTGAGATAAGTCAGCCTCCCATTTTCCCCTAACCTTCAGCCCTTCTTTTTCTAACAGACTGTTAATGCCATTGTACATGTGAGATATAAACCCCTTGAGTTCTTTTTTAATATTCAATACATTCTGCAAGGGTTGTGCTGTGATGGGTAAAAGTCTGCCCTCCTTGAAGAAGTGTCTTTTGTCAAGGCTGTATTTCTCTGTAAGATCTTCCTTTCTTTAATGTTTAAGGATAACTTACAGCACTGTGAATACTGTGAAGTCTGTATGATTGTTAAAGATGATAAAAGAAAATACAGAATACAGACAATTATATAAAAAGTTCACTAACAGGAAATAATCTGCTTAAGATTCATCCAACTTGATGAAATATCCATAAAATAGTTAACTTAAAGGGTCCTTTAAGGAAGAGGTTGGGAACTACTGATTTGATCGGTTTGAGTCCCGCCCTCTGACGGAGCCGCCATTACGGGCATCCCGTTACTGATAGAGGCTCCTTCTATGGATGGAGACATCTGTTAGGACAATAGATTAAAAGCTGAATCAATCTGGTCTCTGTTATTTATCGTTGTCGTTATTTATTCACCTTACTTTAATATCTATATAATATCAATATAAAACCTCCAAAGTAAAATTTCTGATTTAAGGCAGACAGATATTCTGTATGTTTTAATCTGGATTTTTTTTTGTTTTTATGTTTATTTTGTTTCTTTGTGTTTGGAGCCAATCATCTTCTGATTCCGGTTTATATATTATGCTAAGCTAATGCTACATTTGCTTTGCATGTTGGGTAAAGCGTAGTTAGGTGTGTGTTTTTGGCGTGGACGGACAATTTCGGGGACATGTGGACGAGGTCTTGCTCCGGCGTACCTTGGTGAACCAGAGGAAGTCCTGCATGAGGGAGCTGCTGTAGGAGTCGTCCACCTCCACGATGGGGATCTGGTCCTCGGCTGTCACCAGTAAACTGTCCTTATGGTAGAATACGGCCGCCAGGTAGATCCCCCTGCACACACACACACACACACACACACACAGTGTTGGGCACTATTTCCAGCGGCGGACTTATCGATTAAAGAAAGAATATTTCGTCACCAACCTTTTCAGTGTTTTCACAAACTTGTTGGAGGAGTTGAAGAGGTGTTTCAGGCTCCTGGAGACCGACTGCTTCCTGCTCGGGTTCTGGAGCTTTGAGCTGTCTGAACACAAGAGAAAGAAGATAATTCTCACATTAATTTGAGTTTATCCAGGTTTCTCTGACTGGATGTGTTTAAGTGTGCGAGGTCAGCCGGGTCCGGTCACTCTCCCATGTTGCTGGTTCGTTATCTTATCTCGTTCATTCGCTCCTTTCTGTCTGTCCCTCCGGCCTTGTGAGGACGGCGGCCGGCCGCTCAGCGATGCCAATCTCCAGACCGCAGCGCCCCCCCTTTTACCTCGGCTAATTAAGCGTTGCGTAATTACCGTCCTGTAAACAGACGGCAGACGTGGAGCCGTCTGACGCTCGCAGACATGTTGGTGAGCTACCGTTGGACCGCAGACGACCGGACGCACCGGATGGAGGGAAACAACAGTCTGAAGTCATGCTAGCAGCTCTGTGAGGCTGTACTTGAGCTGAATGCTAACATGCTAATATTAAGTCAGTTCACTGTGTTTAGTCTGAGGCTGATGGGTCATTAGTTCTGCAGGTGTCTGGTGGCAGGGTCCGCCATCTATCTGAACAAATGCAGGAAAACAGAGATTGTTTCCAGGATATTTGGTCATTTTAATTAATATCCAGGTGTTTCCATGACTGGAAAACTAGTCTCTACAGTTCCAGGTTTTCAAGGATGTTTGGGAACCCTGATGTTGAGATGTTTTAGACATTTTTTGGGAATTAAATTTAGATCTTTGTTCAATGATTCTAGATTTAAACAGGATATCTTTACACATTCCTGTACAGCTCTGCACATAATGTCTCTTTTTATCTTTATTTATGTTTCTATGTTTAATTGTTATCCACCAACTTACCAAGATAAATTGCTCGTATGTGAACTGAGCAATAAACCTGATTGTGTCTGGCTGGTGGGAGGTTTGTTCTCAGAGGGGAAAAGGGAAAATGTCAGATTACAGATTTAAATGAATAATAGAGAGTGCACACTCCTTTAATCTGTTAGATCTGAAGGTTTGAGTCTCTACATGGGAACTTGCAGATGGAATCGGTCATTAAACGTGTTTAATGCCGTCGAGTGTTTCCTGTCTGCTCGTCGTCTCAGAGTGTGTCAGAGGAAACCTTCCTGCATCAGTAACAGTTCCTGTGGGACTAATGACTGCAGAGGACGACCTCCAGCTCTCCACCGCCTCCGAACACATTACACAACCGTACCTGCAGAGAAACGTCTCGCACACAGGCCGGGTTGTTATTTCAGCAGCAGGTTGAGGCTGCCACCGGCGCTCTCCGGCTTTGAACGGTCTCTCTGTGTTTGCGGCGCTGGAGGCTAACTGGGTTTGACAAGTGGATAATATGACAAGAGCAGAGCGCCTACTGTGCAGCGCCGTGCGTCACACGAGTAAATAAAGAAATGAGTTTTGGTTGGAGTTGATTAACGAGGCCACCGGGTCTCCATCTGAGGCAGAGCGAGACAGGAAGAGAGCAAGACAGGCAGAGAGAGTGAGACAGAAAGAGAGCAAGACTGGAAGAGAGTGAGACAGGAAGAGAGTGAGACTGGAAGAGAGTGAGACAGAAAGAGAGCGAGACTGGAAGAGAGC